GACCTGAATTCAAATCCAGACTCAGACACATAACACTCATGAGCTGTGTGACTCTGGGCAAGTCACTTAACCCCAAATGCCTCATAAAACAAACAAAAAAAAACAGGGGTCCTGATGACTCTTTTAAGATATTAAATCAGGAGTTCTTAACTTCTTTGCGTACTGGAATCCTTTGGCAGTCTGATGATAGCTATGGACCCCTTCTCAAAATAATATTTTTAAATGCATAAAATCAAATACATGGGATTACAAAGGAAACCAGTTACATTGAAATAAAGTTATCAAAAGTATTTACAAAAAACAATAACCAAGTTCACAGACTGGTTGCCCCCACCCTGAGGTTAAGAACCCTTGGACGAAAGGAAGAAGATAGGTTTTACTTGTGTCTTTTAGGCAAGTAACGGGATGGTTTCAGATTCTCTTACACAAAAGTAGAATAGCAGCATGCTTTCTAGATGTAGTTTTCTCATATGTCCCCTTTTTATTCTTACAACAGTCATGTGAAATAGGTAGAGATTATCTCTATTTAAAAATCAACAATAACTAATTACTTAGGTAGTGTAGGGTGGTAGACAGTATTGGACCAGGCTCCAGGAAAACATATTGAAATCCTGCCTCTGATACTAAATAGCTCTGTGATCACTTAACCTCTGTGAACTTTACCTTCCTCATTTGTAAGAGGGGGTATATACCTCAGCAGGATGCCTGTAGTACTAAAAATAAGATCAAATATGTAACAACACTTTACAAAATTTAAAGTGTTATATAAATGTCAATCACTACTTGTAGTTTACAAAATACTTTACATTCATTTTTCTCTTATGACCTGCACAACAAGCCTATGACATCAATAGTATAGATATCATTCTTCCTATTTTACAGATGAGAAAACATAGGGGGATGAATGACTGGCCCCAAGGTTACAGCACTAGAATACAGGTCATTTGATCACAGATTAGAGTTGGAAGGGACTTCAAACTACACTTAGTCCAAACCTTTCATTTTACAGAAGAGGGACCAGAAGTCAAGACAGGCTTGATGACACACGGGTCGTAGTGGTCATAGGTGGCAAAGGAGGAATTTTCACAGAAGCATCGGAGGTTGAAAGGGACCTCAATGGCCACGTAGCTCAACTCACACAAGGAATCACCATTATAACATATCCAACGAGCAGTCTGCTGGAAGGGGGACTCACTACCTCTAGAGCGCACTGGATTTGAACCCCAGTGTTCTGACTTCAAATCCAGCACTCACAGGTTCTATAAAACACGTCAACTTCTGTTTCATTGTCATCCTATTAATCCCTCATTCCAGACATTGGGGCAAACTCAGAAAATTTGTTCTCTCTGCTGCTAACTACCTATGCTGTTCCACAGACAACCAGCATCTTTTTATGCTTAAAGAGAGGAAAGCTACAGAACTGAGGCAAGGAGGAGTGGGAAGGACAGCATCAACACCAAGACCTTTTACCGGGGGAGTGTTCACGACTGTCTTTGTAAAGCAACTGAACCAGAATGCCTCCCACTATATACCATGGTACCGCTGCAGGTGACAGGCACACTGGAGAATCAGATGGTGAAGCATCTGCCTGGGAATCTTGAAGCCAGATTCTCCCCATCCGCCCCCTCCAAGATAAACCTTCTAATCCACCCAAGGCCTCGGACACACAACCCATGCTCCTTTCCTGCCTATTTCTAGACTACCTGCTGAAAGGCAGAGCTAGGATGCTTCTCATCAGGTGTGTTGTTGCCAAACGGATCCCTGACAGCACGGATTCTCTTGTGAGGCACTGAGTGCAGACAGAGTCCCTCTGGAGAACAGGTAGAGGCATTGACACAGAACACAGCATTCAGGAGGTAAAGAAACTGGAGGAACAGACTCACCGAGTGCACAGGGAAGGAGCTGTGCCGGCTGAGAAAGGAGTTAGAGACGGACATACCGAGGCCCTGAGTGGCACTGGTGTCCTCGGGCGTGAAGGGCACTTTAGTTGGCTGGACACAGTAGGAGACAGAGGAGAAGGAAGAGGCAGCATAGGAGGCCTGCTGGACAGAAACAAGGGGGCAAAAAGGGAGGAAGGATAAAAAAAAGCAGAGAACAATAGAGTGTGAATAAAGGATAAGTGGACAGGCCAAACAAACTAAATTCAGAGCCCCTTTGGAGATGGAGCGCTATTTCCTGGGTTAGTTTACTGACTCACAAAGCCTGCTACAGATTAGCTACACTGGGCACGCGACGCTGAGTGCTGGAAATATTTTTTCATAAGATAAAGGAAGGGCACATTGGGACCTGTTGGATGCCCATCTTGGAATCTCTCCTCCACTGGGCCCATACATCACAGTGCTCTGGTCCAAGCGCCCATAACAAGGAAGGGCTTCCTTCCCCTACTGAGTCTTTGGATCCCTGTTTGGGAAACCTAGGAGCCTGTGAGAAATTACAGTCTGGAGGAGAAACCCAAGCAGCCATCAGTGTGGATTTGCAACGTCTGCATGTAAGAATTCCCCTTCCACTTTAGGAGAAAATAAGCATTTCGATTCTAATTGAGATCTCACAGAGTGGCAGGGTTTCCACAGTCTTCTGGGCAAACTCATGTTTAGCGGTTCGCTGGGGCATAATGGCTGTAATGTAATCCTCCCTATGTATGCCCCTCCACTCCCACCACTTAAACTTTTTTTGAAAGCAGCTTTATATCTGTCATCTCATCATTATTTCAGTAACTGGCAGTGTAGTGGGCAGGTATTATTTCCATTTTGCAGGTGAGAACTGCATGCCTAGAGAAGGGAATTTGCTTGCCCAAGGTCACTCAGGTGGTGAGGGGCAGAGCCAGAACAAGACTCCGGGTCACTAGATGTTCACTGGAGTTCTCTACCCTAGACGAAGCTACCACAGAGAATCAAACCAAACCAAACTAAGATATCCCTGTTCAGACTGATGCTGGACTCCAGCTGCAGAATGGACACACATTTTCAGAGCTGGCCAATATGCTGTTGTGTGTCACCTGGTTATACTAATTTGTCACAAGGGAAGGTTTTATTGGGGAAGAGGCAGTCACTGGGAAGCGGCAATGGTATTTGTAAAAACCCTATTCATAAGACATTTTTAGAAATGGCTGTTTCTTTTTACTAAACTGAAAGATTCAGTTTAGCCAGGGTCATCAAGACACCAATGCAGATATTCTTATGGACTTAATGGAAGCAGGAGCTAGGGAAAATGCTCCACAAATCAGGAATGGGCTTTTGACGAATGACGACACCAGCCCTGCTCCTGAAAGTAAACTGCAGGCACAAAAATGGAATTTATGCTCCAGTCGGCCTCTGCTTCTAGGAGAAGCGAGGGCTGTACCTCGGGAGCCTCTTGTAATGCGAAAAAAAAGAAAAGAAAAATCGCCCAATGTGCTGGGACCTTTTACTTCTTCTTGTTAAAGAGGTGCCAGATGGGGTGGCTGAGAAGCAAAACATCACATTTGAGGCTGAAAGGGTCTGGAATTGCCTTCTGGGGGGCCCGTTTTTTTTATTTTTTTCCCCGCTGCTAAAGGAGGGAAGATGGCTAAAGGATACGTTTGAATTCTAAAAAAGGTCCATGTGAGCAATCCACAGGAGCACAGAAAGGCTTCAGGAAGGGCAATACCCACAGAGCCCTCCAGGCCTCTCCAGACCACTCTGGGTGGGCGGATGCCCCTGAGTATGGTTTGTCTTTGGTGGTGACTTTTTTTGTTCATTAAAAGTAAAGAACATCCTTCAAATAGGAGGATTTTGAAATAGTTGTCATGGACAAAAACACAGATGTAGAATGCTTGGGTTTAATCCTGCCTCAGATGCCAAACTTCAGTGGATGCTGATAAGTCACTTCATGGTTCTATGCCTCAGTTTCCTCATTGGTAAAATGAAAGGGTTGGGGGCAGCTAGGTGGTGCAGCGGAAGTCAGAAGGACCTGAGTTCAAATTTGGCCTTAGACCGAACACTTGTCACTTACTAGCTGTGTGACCCTGGGCAAGTCACTTAACCCCAATTGCCTAATTTTAAAAAAAAATGAAAGGGTTGGATTAGATGGCCTTTAAAGTCCCTTCTGGTTTTAAATCTAGGATCCTATGATTAATCAAAAGAGAAACAAACATAGGACACCTAAAATGCAGGATGGATCTGTCTAAAGTAGAGGCTCTTAATCTGGGATCTATGAACTTGTCTTAAAAAAATTTGATAACTATTTCAATATAACTGGTTTTCTTTTTAATTTTATGTATTTTATGCATTAAGAAAATTATTTTGAGAAAGAATTCATAGGTCTCACCAGAATGCCAAAGTGTTCCACCAAGCAAAAACAGGCCAAAAACCCATGGATGAAAGTCATGCTCTTGCTTCAATGTTGGGTTTTAACTAGGCCATCTTATGGCCAGGGCTAGAATCTAGAGAGATGGTGCTTTCTCTCCCTTTCCAAGTGTAGAAATCTATAGGACCTGATAGTTTAGAAAGCCCTTTACCTCCATGTGATCCTCAGATCCCTGCATTGTGTGTAAGGAAGAGGAGGGATTAGGCACTACTAAGTAGAGACCCTAGGCCTGAGTTGTATACCAACCATTCTCTACGCCCTGATTAAGTTCTTCCTGGGAGGGTTAATTTCTGAACCAGAAGAGAGGAGGAAGAGGGAAAGTGAGCATCAGCAGAGAAAAGCAATGTCCTTTGTGCGCATAGCAGCACAAACCCCATCACAGCATCGGATAAAACTATCAGCAGGACAGCTGGGAGCCCAGCAGACTGTTAGTGAACCTAAAGAGCAAACCAGACATCAGGGAGATATGAGAGATCTGAGTGACACAGGTGAATTTCCAGAGCCTTGAACTGGAAGACAGGGCTGACCCAGTAAATGGTGTGTAAGGACTGTCCTAGCTCATGGTTCAGATCCGAAATTCTTGCTTGAGAATGAGAGTGAGGACAGAGTCACTTCCCTCAAGGAACTCTCGAGGCTGTCAGGCTGGGACTGGGCAGGGTCTGGGGGGTGCCACTTACCAGCTGCCTCTGCTTGGGGGGCAGGGCAGGGGGCGGGGCCAGCTCCTGGGTGAAGGAGTCATTAAAGCCGTAGACCTCCATGAGGAGTTTGTTTTTCTGCTGGTAGATGTGCTCATTCTGGGGCGTCTGGTAGAACATGGAAGGCTGGGGCTCTGAGTAGTCCTCGAGGAGCTGCATGTAGGCCAGCACTGAAAGACAAAGTTTGTTTTGTTTTTGGAGTCTGGGGCTCTCTACCTTGCCCAGGCTGGAAGCACATGAGGTCTCCCTCAGGGCTGACCTCAATGCTGACAACCAAGCCAGCTCTGATTTCCTCCCTTTTTCCAATCTGGGCCTGTTCATCCCTCCTCAGGGTTCACGGTATTGGTGCCAGACTTAGCACACACACCCAATTCAGTTGGCGTTACCCCGATTGCAGCCAGAAGCTGTCTACTAGCCTCAGCTTCTGCAGCAGAAAGGACTACAGGCATTTGCCTTCACCTTAGGCACTCTCACTGCTGATGACTGGGGGGTGCCGAGCATTAAGGCTAGAGCACTTAAGTGCATACCCTAATATCATTCTCTCAAATTAAAAGGTGTAAGTCAGAAATTGCTGAATGGTCATGTCATACTAAGGGTTCTAACAAATCTCTGAATGTAGCTGAATATTTATCATGCCCCCAATGGGTAAAATTAAGTATCATTCTTTTAAAAAAACTTTGTTTCAATTAACAAAATTCTGTTTTCTCTGCTTTTTCCTTCTGAGAAAAAACAAACAAGAAAAAAAAACAACCTTGTAACAAATATGCATAGTCAGGCAAAACAAAATTTCACATTGGCCATGTCCAAAAAATATGTCTTATTCTGAGTCCATCACTTCCCTTTCAGGATGCAGGTAACATGCTTCATTATCAGTCTTTTTGGAATCATGGGTGGTCATTATGATGGCTGGTGTTCTTAAGTATAAATATCATTCTTAGCCTGAAGCTAGATATGGATTTGGAGGACCTGGGTTCAAACCTTGACTTGCCTATGTAGTCTTAGGCAAGTCTTCTTCCCCTCTTTGGGCCTCAGTTTCCTTATCTGCAAAATAGGGTTAGATTAGACCTCAGATACCCATTCCCTCTCTAAATTTATGATCCTAAGCTCTCCTCAGCCTGAAGCAGGTACATGCCTTGTAAAGTGCTTAGTGGGTAACAGAAAGAATATTGAATTTGGAGTCGGAACATCTTGATCTGAGTCTCTGTTTCGACACTCATTAGCTGCGTGACCTTGATCACTTCAACTCTCCTTGCCTAATCTCACCAGATGATGTAAATTAGATGGGAAGCTCCTGGAGGGCAGCTCTGTCTTTTGCCTCCTTTTGTATTCCCAGCACTTATTAGCACAGTGTCCGGCACATAGTAGGTGCTTAATAAATGTTTATTGATTATCTACAAAATGGGGAAAATAAAATTTATTCCACCTGTCAGAAAGAGTTAGTACAAGACTGAAATGAGATAGCCTACAGGGAGTATATTATAAGGCACTTTAGAAATATTAGCTATTAGTATAAAGAAAAATTGTAAAAATAGTGCCCTATAGTCCTCTAATACTTGTTTACAAAATGTTTTCCTTGCAGTAATCTCGAGCAGTGGGTAAGCACCAAGATTATTATTCCCATGTGATAGGAATCATTGGCAGGCCTCCAACCCAAACCTTCAGACTCCAAGGCCCTGCTCTGGACGGCTGGTGGATAGGGTGGCTGCTGGGCCTGGCTTCCAGTCTTCCTCTGCCTCACACTAACTATGTGGCTCTGGACAAGTCACTTAACCTTTCTCAGCCTGGCTGTTAAATGGGGAAAATACCTATAGCAGTTACCTCCAAGGGTCGGTATGAAGCTAAGTTACGGCATGACCTCTACAAATCTGGGAGGGCTGTGCAGGAATGGCCCTCACTGTGTGGGTCACTACTGCCTCTAAGATCAAACACAAACGCCTCTGTTTGGCATTCAAAGCCCTTCAACAAGCCCTGGGCCCAACCGGCCCTTCCAGCTTCCCTACTCTCCCACGGTTCCTCACACTCCAAACTCCACTCCTTGTCCCCAGGCCTGGAATGTTCTCCCTCTTCCCTTTGATTCTTAGAATCTCTTGTTCCCTTCAGAGTTCAGCTGAAATATGCCTTTCTGGATCTTCCCATCTGCCAATGCCTTCTCCCTCCTTTGTCTTTATTTTGAGAGGCAGCCTGGAGCAGTGGATGGAAAGCTGGCCTCAAAACCAGGAAGACTACGGTTCAGGGCAGACCACTTCTCAGTCTGGCAGCTCTCTAAGACTTGAAGGCACAGAGAAGCTGTTGACCTGCGCTGGTGGAGGGAATTTTTCCATCGAGGAGATTTTTACATTGTTGAAATCACAGCTCTGGTCCCTATCCTGATCCTGTTCATTCTGTACATTATTTATTAAATATGTATGTGCTATCTCTTCTATAGAACGTAAGGTCTTTGAGGGCAAGGACAGCCTTGCTTTGGTTCTGTACCCCCCAGCCCCTAGCATTGTGCCACAGACTTAATCAATGCTGGCTGACCAATTAATACAGACTATCAATTTCATATTTGGAAGGACAGGGACACCTTAAAAAGATGAGAATAGGTTGGAAAAGTAAACTGGCTGAATAAACCTTTGGTCCTTCTCCCTAAAATCCCTTCAGAAAACCTTTTGCTTGCATTAAGCTGCAAATTCTGAATACCACCAACTACAAATGCCACCAGGCCATAGTTTCATTATGTACTTGTTTGGAGCAAGAGCTTCAGCTTGCCAGAAAAGGCAGCCAGATCTGTATTTGTTCTGCAAAGTGTGATATACACCTAAGGAGGTATTTCCAAGCCCAGTGGACTTTGCCTGGGGAGGTGAGAAATCAGAACAAAGAGCTCAGCTGTCGTCTGTCAAGGTGATCTCATCCTGGGGACCCTTCCCAACATGACAGCAGGTGCAGAAGCCCTAAGCCCTCACATGAGGGCATCAGCCTGCGCTTCATTAGGCTTTACAGTTTCAATTGCTAAAGTCACCTCCATCTCCTCTGCAGACCCAAATTCATTTCGGCAGACTCTGGAGGGTTTCTTGGGGAAGCCAGGATTTCAAGTCTAGCAAATGAATGGGCTTCTGACAGAGGCAGGTTTTGACATGTGGTTGTAGTCAGGCTTTTACCGTAACAAAGAAAGGGATCCGAGCTACCAAGTGGCAGGAACCTAGGCCCTGCCTCATCTATGGCTAGAGAAGGTCTGCAGAAGTTTCTTTGGTTTGCTTGTATACCCCGCACTTTCCTGTAGAAGCACCTAATCAGTACTTGTGGATTGAGAACCCCGACTGCCCAGCCATTCTTGGATTGAGAATGCTTTTTTTAATTACTTAATTACTTAACTCATAATTATGTAATTACTGGGGCTATTTGGGTTTAAGGTATTTGCAAGTCTTTGGATGAGAAGGCAATGTTAGAAGGAGGGTTAAAGTCTAGTACTATAATGTAAATGATCTAAATTGCAGCAAAAACCAGAATACTACTACAAATTAGAAGGCTAAAAGCTGCTGCTCAGCTGGTTAAGGTCCATACACAGGGGATGTCCTTGGACCCTCACAAGAGCTGGCTGAAGGAGGCAGGATAGACGCTGCCACGTTGGAAGACATTCCGTACAGTGAATTTGGATAAATGGATGGATGGCCTTGGAATACAGCTTGGAAGCTCTACTACTTACTATACCCCTGCCAGCATTCCCAGACACAGGCATTTAACTTTTCTGGGTCTCAATTTCACCTTTTCAAAGAAGGAGAGCATTGGACTAGATGGTCTCTAAGGCCCCTTCCAGCTCTTTATCCATGATCCTAAGAGGCTCAAGAATGGTTAGGCAATAGAAATTAAATTACAGTATGGGCACTTCAAGTGGTGAAATGCATGGGAAAGAAATTAGATTTTTTTTTTAAATCCAAGGTGGTTTAATCTTAGGCCATCTCAATGCTGGGCCTCTGTCAGATGATAATAATAATTATTACAATTTTAATGTACTTTCAGGTTTCCAAAGTACTTTTGCCATGACAAACTGGTGATGAAGGCATTGCTAGCATCATATAATTATACCCACTTTACAGGAGAGGAGACTGAGACTGAGGCTCAGATAAGCTAAATGACTTAATCAGGTTCACACATATCTAGGACTTATCAGAACCAAGATTTTGAGGCCTCTAAAACGAGGCCCCTTCCTACAACACTACTACCTCTCAGATGGAGCTAAAATTCAGAAATGAATCAAATAGGCTTTCTCTCCAGGGAACTACTTCAAGAAATCTTTTTTATGTCTGAAAACAGGACAAGTGAATTTGTATTTTCAGGCCCTAAATGGAGCTTAGAGAAATGAGAAAGGGGCAGCAACTCCGAGTTGGTTAGTTAGGAAGAGTGGGAGCTTGTCTTCTTCTTTCTTGGCCCCCCTGTGGCTCCAGGTGCCCACAAAACATTCTCTGGCTGATTTCAAAGACTCCTTTCAAACATAAATAGACTTTTTTTTAGCAGCTGGAGGACACAGAGCTCTGCAATAAAGGGCAGTGATGTGTGAGCAGATGATGATGGTCCTCGTTCCATGCGGTCAGCCTCTGGGCTCCTGCCAACACAAAGCACAACTCCTGGGCCAGTGTCAACCTGATAAAGCTGTAAGGCTGATTCCAAAGAAACTGCTTTGTTTCCCTTGGCTATATCATGTCTGAGGAAGATAGAACCTATACAGGCTATCTCTCTCTCTCTCTCTCTGTTTTTTTTCTGGGCAATGGGGTTAAGTGACTTGCCCAGGGTCACATAGCTAGTAAGTGTCAAGTGTCTCAGGTCACATGTGAACTCTCTATCCACTGCACCACCTAGCTGCCCCTTTACAGGCTATCTTAAAGTACTAGCAATTACCCTCCTTTGGACGAAGATATAGGAATGGCATACTGGAAACAATGCTGAACCCGGAGTCAGGAAGACAGGAGTTCAAATTCCACTTCGGACACTTACTAGCTATGTGACTCTGGTAAAGTCATTTCATCTCTACTCAATTTCCTCAGCTGTAAAATCTGGGGATTTAAAGGGAGTGGTCTGTACTCAATGAGCTCTAAGGTCCCTTCTAGCTCCAAATCTATGATCCCATGATTAGAGCACTGAACTTGGAGCCAGAAAGACCTGGGTTTGAACTTTACCTCCGTCATTCATTAGC